AACACAGATATGTGTGTGACGTGATACACATGTATGCCGAATGGCGCATATTATTTGGAGCTTGATTCACAGTTAACAGCAACAGCAGTAGCAACAGCAAAAACGACAGAAGTAGCAAAAACAAAGCCAAAGCAAAGCTCTGTTCTATTGAGAGACCGAAACTAGATATGGTATGGATCAACGAAATGAGAGAGGCGTTCGAGGGGGATGGGCACAAGGAGACGATAAGCGGATATGGGAAAAACTTTCGAATTGGATAGGTTAAGCGTAAACAAGTGTGTGCGTCTTTATATTCTTACACTCTCTATCTCACTCCCTCTCTTCCTGTGTATGGTATTCGGTTTTTTGTTCTGCTGTTGCTGTGGCGTAGATATTAAACGGAAGGAGGTGTGGTGCACAGGGTGGTTTTCTTTCTCTCAGCTCCCTTCTATCTATCTAGGATATTTTCATCTTCTACTTTTTTTTTATTTCATTTGCCACGTTTTTTCCTGCTTTTCATTTTCTTCTCTTGCTGTTTCATTTTTTTCTTTCTGTGCTGCGCTCAATTTCAATGCATACAATCAACATCTACCAAACATTGTGCACGCGTACATGATCTGTATCTGGAGCACATAGCATTAGTGACGCTTGCACATATCTAGATTCACGTATTGGTATCATTTAATCGCAGAATGAAATTGGAATAAGAAGCGAGCAAAGCATAGAGGGCGAGAGAGGGGGTAAGAGAGAGGTGAACACAGAAAAAACTTGTGGCAAATGATTACACAAAAGCATGAATGACGGAACCAGAGGCGTCTCCAGTCATTGCACTTGCAATTTCCATTTCACCATCTCCTTTTTTTTTAGCTCGATTCACATTCCTTACGATCCCCCGCGCTCGCCTCTCATCTACACGCTCAGCTTTATTGCACCGAAAAGCACTTACAGTTTCATTATATCAACCATAAAAAATTGAAAATCTCGGAGTTGAACAATGTGAATAATCAAACGATGAAACTCTCAATTAAGGGATTAGAATCATGATACATCGAAAATGTTTAGGTGCAGTGATAACACGCTTGCAGCGCACAACGTTTGCCGTTCTTGCTTTTGATGGCAAACGGTGTTGCCATAGAAATCGTGACAAATGCTCAATTAATAATCATTTGAATATCAATTAAGTGTCTGAAAATGTGCAATATCGTTTGATATAAGACAGAGTAGAGTAGAGTAGAGCAGAGCACCATACGCCGGGAGAGAAATTCTGAAGTCGCTGAGCAACCGTACACCCATCACTTTTGAGTAATTAAAATTCGACTCTTGATGCAATCAAATTTAACTCTACATTTCTACGAATTGCCATGAACATGATACTTGAATGGTTCTTCATGCTGCACCAATGGCATTTCCGTTCAGTAGCAACATTTCGAGATTTTTAAGACAAAATGACATAAGAAGCATTCTTTTAAAATTTCGACTCATTGCATGAATAAATTTACACAAATGCCGCACGCCACGATGGAACAGTTGCCGAAAAATTGAACACGAAAAATGAAATCGTGTAACAGTAAAATAAATAATCGCCGAACGCATCGAAGTTGAATGTAAATCACAGAATTACATTGAGACGCGAATGGGCAACAACAACAACCGAAAAAGAAAGAGAACAGCAATGGAGAAAAAAAAAACGAGCGGTAAACGAAACAAGTGTGCACAACAAATGTGTGCAATTTCGATGGATAGCAGAGTTGGTGTTAGGATGTTACATATATATATGTGTGTACCTAGTTACGCGACGAAAATTCAAAGTTACTCCGCTCACAATAGAAATTTTCAGCAGTTTTCTATATATATTGCTTTAAGAGTGAAAATATTCGCTTTGTTTTTCTGCCCTAGTTAACATATGAATTAAATGCGAATTCGACGAGAGTACGAGAACAATAAATGCGCTACTTTGTGAAGCGACACACTCTCGTTCTCGCTATCACCACTGCCACCATCACCGCCACCACCACCACCACCACCACCATCTTCTTCTTCTCCTCCTCCTTTGCTCGTTCATTCTTTCGTTCGTACCAAATGAAATAGACACACTTCTCGCACTCTTTTGTCGTGATGATACCGAATCTTCGTTTCGTTGTCGCTATGTGTGTATATATTTTTCGACGACGAACGGCATAAACATAGAATGAAGAGACAAAAAAAAATCCACTTTACTATTCCTTTATAATTACATTTTCTATGCCACAAAATTCTATTAAATATTCGTTTCTCCAATTTTCGTCGAGTTGCTACCATTTTTGCGCAGTAATTTGATTGGAATGCAAGCGCTAAATGAAACGAATGGCTGAAGTTTTGCTAAACGAAGCAACAAGATGAAATGGCGAACGAGCGACTGAGAGAACGGGAGCGAGTACAAGAGTGCGAATGAGATAAAGTGAATGCGAGAGGATGAGAATGAATTAGATATGCGTTGAAAATGAGAGACAACAGAGAAGACGACGAAAAAAAAACATCTTTTTACACTCTTTGTAAGACACGCACGCCTATAAACTTTTCCAGATCACACACAACTTTTTTTTTGCTGCTTTACCGCTTCGAAAACCTTTTTCTTTTTGTTTTGTTGCTTTCATCAGCCCCGACGACAAAACCAAAAATGAATAGAGAATCGAGAAAAAGAAAAATGGACGAAACAACTAAAGAAATAGCCCAAACAATTTGGGGTAGCATTTAATCAATAAAACACAAACGAGCTGACGAACTGTCAAACTGGTCGTCTAATTTTCAGTGTAAATTTTCATTTTTCGTTGTAGAAAGGAAAGACAAAACAAGAAGAAGAAAAAAACAGAAAAAAAGAACCGACAGAAAGGTCCCATGCAATCACCTGTTTCTATTCATTGTTGGGAGAACTTCCGTTTTTGAAGAAAAAGGCCAAACCATGATGATCGATATAAGAATAACAGCGCAACAATAAGGACCACAAAAACCAAAAGGAAAAGCATACATACACACACACACACACGTACAAGGAGAAGACGGATGGGCTCGCAGCACTTATTTTTGAATAATATGAAAACCTCATTGGAAATTTAAAGAGCAAAAAGGAATCGCATTCGATGGTTTTTGAGCCTTTTGTTCGTCAACAGCATTTGAATCGATTACTCTTCATTGAGAGCCCGAAGCGTGTATGCCAGTCTCCCCCACACCCAACACCGATACTTCACCTCGAGTCGATGCGAATTGACTTGGCTTGGCTTGACACAAATCGAGCTCACTTTCCTTCAAAAAGGCAACTAACGAAATAACAGCTTTTTCAAAGAAAAATCCCATGTGCCCGGCCAAGCAGAATGTGAACTCAATAAGAAGAAGTAGAGCGCAGTGCGAACAGTGTGTAGCCCATTTAAGACCTTTTCTCTCCCTCTCTCTTACTTTCTATTCATCATTCTGAGCTACACCAAGCGAACGAGAAATAAAATATTCATAACCGAGGAAACGACGCGTGAAAAAAATAGATTTCATTCAAAGCATTAATCAACTCAAGAGTTTAGCTCGCTTTTTCAATCTTTCACTCTTCCAGCCGCTCTCTTCTATCCGCATCCGGTCGAAATATGACGATGAGAACAAAAATGCTAAATAACTATCGCTTTGGCTCTCGATGCCAAGATGATGAAACAAATGAACACACTTTTTGCCCTTTTAAAACAATTATTGAATTTGAAAAGAGGCTTTTTAATCAATCGAAACGCACCAAATCGAATCGAACCGAAGCAATTGACTATGGAATTTGTGATTCGCTATCCGAAAGCAAGACCTATTCTGATTCTGTCTTCAATTGCATGAACACACTGACATGACAAGAAGAATGAGTAGAAAAAACGAGCTAAAAGTGCTGAAGAAATCAAGGTGGCAGTGTCTGACGGATAATTATATTGTAGCTTGCCCCCGAAAAATAAATTGCAATGAACTGTCGTACCCTTTCTGTTTCTTGTTTCTTTTTCTCTTTTAAATACACAATCGCATCGAGCAGAGAGCGTGCGACACATAGCCAAAAAGGAAATGCACAATTACAATAAAATTTGTTATCGTTGTTTGAACAGACGCTTACTGTTTCACAAAATCTCACAATTCATGCGATGCCATTCGTATTTGTGCATAACACTCTCTTCATCTATATGTATAATAGAAATTTCTACAGATTTTCACATTTATTTATTTTGCATATTTCATGCTGTAACAATTTTGTGGAAGAATAAGAGAGTCGGATTGCTGTTGCTCCACAGTTTGTTTCATTCGTTCGTTCGCTCGTTTTCTCTCAGCTGGCGGGCGGGCGTAACAGTCTGCAGATTGGAAAATATCCGGCATTTGGTTGGAATTTTTTTTTAATAATTCTCTACTCTGCTTTGTGCTTAGTTGATGTTGATGTAGCAAAAGTTTTTTTCCTTCCTTTTTTCTTTCTCTCTCTCTCTTTCTCTCACCCACACTTACTCTCCGTTTGAATGTTAATATTCATTCGTGCTTCAGTCTGTTTCGTCTTGCTTACATTTCAAGCATCTCGTAATGTAATAAAAGCATCGAAATACTTGCAGAAACACTCATTGAAATCAAATAACAGGGCAAATGCACCGTGTTCTCCTTCTTTTCGTCCGCGAAGCGAGTGAGCGAATGTGAAACAGAAACAAAAGAAAACACGCATACGTACAACAAAATGAACAATTTTAAGAAGATTTTCTTCAGTATTTAATAATGATTTTGCCAAAAAAAACTGTAAACCATATGCCAAACATTCTAACAACCTTAAGCAAAAATGTATAGTTTTTTCTGTCTTCTTCTTCAAAAGTACATAAGAACTCTTAAAACTCTTTCGTATGTCCTGCCCTTTGAATCTTCCAACCGAAATGATTTGAGTACGAGGGAGTGGAATGTTTAAAAAGAACGAAAAAAAAAAATGAAACCAAAGCAACAATAAAAACGGTGTTTCTGTGTTGATGGTTGATTTGGGTTTGTATATGCAAGTAACTTACCTCCCGTCGATACGCATGTGACATTCACGGAGCTGCCTTCGTTGTACGGTCCGATTGTATAGTGTGGTATGTGCACGCCACTCTCATCGGAAATTAATAATTTTTCGGGTGGCACTGTAAAATAAACACAAATGTCTATGAGATAAAAATTGGATATTTTTCCACAAATTAGCTTGTATTTGGTTTCAATTTTTCCGGGTGCATCGATATCACGTTGTAACGAGCGCATTTTGATTTTAATGGATCGAAACATGACACTTGATAGCCATAAACTAGTAATGAATGCCGAATTGCATCTAATAAATTGCGTTGCCGACCCGATCGAATAAAACAACATAAATCAACTTAAAAACAACAATCCGAATCGAATTTACGATAATCCGTTTTGAATTACAAATAAACAAGCTAAGCTTTCTACTTTGAACGATTTCTATTGGGTGTGGGAATTAGTTTTTTCGATTTTTCAAAAGATGGCGTAACTTTGCATGGTTGTATCAGGCAATACTTTTTTTCTTTTTCGCATGAGAGGTCTAGTGTCAAACTACAAAAATCACCATCTATCATTTCATCGAAGTGTAAATGACCAATTTTTTTTTTGCGCCTTAAATATGTCAAGTTTTGTACCGAAAAAGCAACATTTCCGGGAAGCATTAATTTTTTGCTTTCATTTGAAGAAAACTGCGGCTGAAGCGCATCGAATGTTGGTGGAAGCCTATGGTAAGCATGCTCCATCGGAACGTACATGTGAACAGTGGTTTGTACGGTTCAAAAGTGGTGATTCTAGCACGGTAACGTTCGAGGGATGCGCCTATCTGTGTAATTTGTTGTTGTAATTTGATAGTTCGAACTCCCACCGCTTACGTGTACAATGCAAATCAAATGTATTTCAGTGTGGCGCTAGTAGCATGTAGTTTGCCTTAGACGCAGCTCTCGGGAACGTTCCGGCCAGCCAAAAAAGTTTGAAGATGCGGAATTGGAGGCATTACTCGATGAATATTCAAGTCAAACTCAAGATGAGCTTGCCAGAGCATTGAATGTTGACCGAAGCACAGTTGGATATCGTTTAAAGGCCCTTGGTTTCATTCGCAAGTTGTCAAATTGGGTACCACATGAATTGACGCCGGCGCAAGCTGAAAGGCGTTTGGTGACTTGCCAAATGCTGCTCGCTAGGCACAAAAAAAGAGGTTTTCTGTATCGAATTGTCACTGGTGACGAAAAATGAATTCATTACGATAACCCCAAGCGCAAAGCATCGTATGTTAAGCCCGGCCAGCCAGCAACATCACAGCCAAAACAAGATATCCACGGCGACAAGGTAATGCTGTGTATTTGGTGGGATGAGGAGGGAGTGGTGTATTATGAGCTGCTGAGAAGTGGTCAAACCATCGATGGGCCTCTCTACCGACAACAATTGATACGTTTGAAACAAGCTATCAAAGAAAAACGAAAGAAATGGGAGACCAGAAAAGAGACATTGATTTTCCTACATGACAATGCTCGGCCACATATTGAGAAATCGGTTAAAAACTACTTGGAAAATAGCGGATGGGAAGTTTTGGCTCACGCCCCGTATAGTCCAGTGGTTCCTTCCGACTACCATTTGTTTCGATCGATGCAAAACCATCTGAGCGGAGAGCGGTTCTCTTCAGTTGAAGAAATCAAAATTTGGCTCGATGCATTCATAGCCTCAAAAGACGAGGAATTTTTTAAGGCAGGCCGTGAATTGCCCACATTGTGGCAGAAGGTCACCGGTGGACAATATTTTGATTGAAATGTAATTTCATTTTGGTATTCAAATAAATGATTGAAAATTTTAAAAAAATCGAAAAAACTTATTCCCACATCCAATATAAATTTCGAAGGGCCGAATAGGATAACGATAGCAGCCGGGGATTTTTTTTGTCTCTATCTATGAATTAAATCGATTGTATAATAGAGGTATGGGTCGCGATGGAACGCTTGTTGCGACAGTAATGCAATAAATGAATGAGTGTATTGAAATTTGGTGTGGCACAAATTTAATGGCATTTTTACTCGCCACTTGAATTCCCAAAAACCTATTGCAAAATTGGGAAATTACAAAACAAAATGCGAAAAAAAGGAAAGAATATGCATTCGCTTGATAACAATCAATGTATCCAATTGAACACGAACTAGTGCTATTGAAAATTGAACAATTGTGAGAGTGAAAGAGCGAAAGAGGAAAAAAAATACATCAAACTTTTGAATCAAGCTATTGAAAAGTTGTTGAAAAAAAGCGAGAGAAAAGAAAAAAAAACAAAAAATCATCAAATGGAAAATGTTCCACGGTATAGTTTTAAACCTGGAAATTGGATTATACTCCATAGTAACTTACGTATAATTTTGAGTTGAACGCGTGAATTTCTGGTGGGACTCTTGTGAAAATCGACACGGCACCGATAAATTCCGCTATCTGAATCCTGTGCTTCGTTAATGATCAGCGATGCGGGATTCACTGATGGTTGGAAATAAGCACGGCTACCCAGGTTTTTCTCGTCCAGCCAATGTGAACCCTTCTCAAAGTCCGTATTCCGTGCATCAAAACTAAATCACCATGTGAACGCATTCATCCATGAAATGGTCGATCATGATGGACAAACACAAGAGATAAAACACACATAATTAGCTTCCCTTTCAAATGTTAACAAGAATTTTGAGGAAGAAGATTGTGAAAATGAACGAAAAAAAAATAGCGGAAAACTTTTCGATTTTCGATCTGCGCTCGAACGTTCGAACCTCAGCTGAGTCTCGGCCAAAAAGTAAATCTAATTGAGTTCGACTTCAAGCGCAGTCACGAAGAAGTTTGATGAAATAAGGGAGAGAAAAAGAATGAGCGAAAGATCGAAGACAGCGTGAAAAGTCTTGGTTGTTAAGTAGCTTGAAATTGAAATGAATTCGTATCGCACAAATTTCATTCACAATGGCGGTGTGGTGAATGGATTTGGCGTGCTAAATAGCCAACATGCACACACCATTTGGTGGTTGTGGTGGGTTGAATATCGCACATGCACTTCTTCCCAGCCAACATGATTCAATAAATAGCGAACGAGTTTACATGGAAATTTCACGTTAAAGATAAAGTTTAGCCCAAATACATCAATCAATTCGGTGCTCATCCATTAAATGTGAGAGCGTGTGGAATCAGTCTGTCTTACTACGAAGCGAGCGAGCAAGTGTATGTATGTATCTATGGGAACAATGTGCTTTTGGGCCATGAAATGAAAGCGCAGCAAATATGGAAGAGATGCACAGTGAGTATAAGAGATGAGCAGGAGGGAAAAAAAAGAAAAACATAAAACACACAGAGAAAAAGAGAGAGAGAGAGAGAGAGAGAGAGAGAGAGAGTATACACACCGTGTGACAAGTGGAGAAAATGAGCATAGAAGAAATAATATATATGTGTGGAATGAGGGAGCGAAATGGGTTTTTATCTAGTTATGCGGTGCTTTTTCACTCGAATCAGACGGGATGAAACGTATGAATGTACAAATGTGCGACCGTAACTTGAATAGATTTCAGATTGTGTGCTACTTACGCCGTTACACAATTTCAAGCAGTTTACATACTAATGGATTTTTCGTGATTACATTCACATTTTCTACTATGGTATGCTTGGTGTGTTTTTGTAGCATGCGTCTGCCGAAAAAGCCACCCCAACCCAACCGCCCTCCCGAAGTGGACGATGCTAAGTAAGCCAAATGCATTGCATCCAATTCTGCCGAGTGTGTATGTTTGTGCTGTGTACATTGCATAAGAAAGCTGTGAGCCACAACTGAAGGCAAATAAAATAGTTCTGTCAACTCTGTCAAAAGCATTTCTCAGGTCATTGTAATTTACATGACCTGTAGGATGTGTGTGTTGCAAACAATCCAAACTCACTACTCTCTCTTGCACGCTCGTTCGTTCATTCGCACACTCTCTGAAAATTATCTTGCGGGAAATTGAGACACATTTGTTCTTTTACTGTGCGAAACATAAGACCGGTATGTGTGCGAATATGTGGACGACGACAACGACGACGGTAAAAAAATACAATAAAAGCCGAACGTAATTTTCGCTTGCCACACGGAGACGGGCATTGACAGTGCAAATGCCAGTGCTCACATTTCTATCGTTCTAATATGTGATCTGGCTAGAGACAACGACACTCTACACACGAAGTGAGCGCGCGCGACAGAGAAAGCGAGCGGGTGAATACAAGAGACAGAACATAAATTTCCTTGCCATTTATACACGTTGATTCCAAACTTTGCATAAAACTATATTTTATACATTTTCTCTGGTCGTGTGTCTTCTTGACTCTTTTTCGGCTCCTGTGAGATAAAAACCGAATAAAAACGCACCTCGTTCATTTTTTATTCCTTCTATTCTACATCTTCATGGAGAATGAGAGGGTGAGTGAGTGAGTGAGTGAGTGAGAAAGAGCGAGTATGTGTTGCACTCCGACACTCTGACACGGCAAGAAAATAACGATATATCTAATTAAACGTATCCTTATCCCGTCTCTATCGTGCCAAAAGCGAAGAATAGCCTAGAAAATTTTCACAGTATGAAACACAGCTCACACCATTCACATTCACACTTACACTCATTCTCTCTATCTCTTCTGTCGGATAGCCCGTTATATATCGAAATAATTGGGAAATGGTGTATAAAGGGGCCGTCGGGTGTACAAAAAAAAACGGCGTATAGTTAAACGAAAAATGCCTTTGTTTTAACGAAGCGGAAGAATAATGTTTTCGATGCAAATCTAATTTATGTCCGCTTGGAATGTAACCGAAACAACACTTTTGTGCAACACATTTGCTCGCTCTAAGTAGCACGCACGCACGCACGCAACACAGAATATACGCACACGCACATAGTCTTGCACAAGCATAAATTAACCAAGCCCACGCAATTGGACTAATAATAAAATGTAAACTCTTACCTGTAAATCGGCAAGGAATATCCATCTTTGTACCAGATTACTAGTATAATTTTATCGCCTTTCACCGATGGCGTTATATTGCATGGTAAACGACCTATTGTTCCTTTGACAGCTTCAACGATGTGAATTGATTCTGTGAGCGCCAACATACAATAGCAGCATCAGCAGGAGCAGGAGCAGCAGCAGCAGCAGAAGCACCAGTTGTTGCCAAAGCAATGTACATACCAACCACCAAAATGGGGGATGAATACACACAAAAAGCCAACAATGGATCCCGAATGAATGAAAATATATAAAAACAACACACAAGAATAGAAGGTGTACAGGAACAACAACAACAACAAAAAAGAACCAACAACACATTATAATAATTATCAATACAAATATGGTGTTAATTTAAGGCGGAATTTGAATGAATGAGTGAGCTAAAATACAATCGATGAAATTCCATCAATTCACACCTACGGTTTAGTCATGAATACACATTACATACTGATATATCGCTCATACACATGATTTTCACACGCTTTTTCTAAGCTTTCTCGCTCAATTGCTCCCTTGCTTTTAACCATAAGCTTCACCGCTTCTACTAAAACATGTGATACGAGGCATGTGTGTGTGTGTGTGTGTGTAACTCGTATTTACGATGTTGCTTTGTACGAGACCGCACGTAACTGAATAAACTCCCATCATAATGTCACCTGCTTCATAATAATGTCGACCCGACCCGATTCGAAATCGAAATCAAACTCAAAATTATTGTTTGCCAACGAGGGGAAAACATCAGCAGCAGCAGCAGCAGCAGCAGCAGTAACAACAGCAGTACCAAAAAAAATTGATCCCAATTTATTATGATGATATTGTTGACAGTTGCAACCGATTCCGGAGAATTTCTATTGGCAACCAGCTATAGCGTAATTCCCATTTGTTTATTTATTTACTTATTTACATTGAATAATTTATCCCATCCGATTCTCTCTACCCATCTCCCGTTCCCGATCTCATGGCCCGATCTCATTCAACCCGATTCGGTGACAATATATCTATGGGTGAGATTGGGAGTGGAGTATGTTTTTTCTTCGATTTATATTTTTGAAAAGGCGAGTATGTTTTCTGATGATTCTGTTGGCGTTAAAGTAGAGTATGTTGTAGTACCGTCTAGCCTCCGCGGTCTTCATGGTTTTCGCGCAACTGATAAAAGATAACAACATAGTGTCTTCGGCAAAGTTGTAGTACTTGAGGTCTTCTATAACTAAGCTGAAGAAAGTTATCTCTTATCTCTTATCAGTTGCGCGCAAATCGCTCACATAAAAAAGCAAATTTTATATAGAACTTTTTTTTTCTTATCATTTTTCGCGCTTTTCGCGGAACTGATAAGAGATAAGAGATAACTGTCTTCAGCGATGTTATAGAAGACCTCGAGTGCTACAACTTTGCCGAAGACACTAAGTTGTTATCTCTTATCAGTTCCGCGGAAACCGTGAAAAACCGCGAGGACCCGCTAAAAACGAACATACTCGCTTTTAACCATTTTTAAGTCGACAGAAACTTGCTCTTCTCTTTCGTAACAAAGTCAATCAAACATACACTACTCTCAATCTCACCCATAGATATATTCATTGCACTGCACCATATCGGATGATTAAATAGTTTGCGTCTGTAAAATAAAGCGTAATTCGAAGCCCACAGTTCAACAGTTTAAATACCTGATTGAATTCTGATTTACTTTGAGCCGATTGGAATCTCAATCATTGTCAAGTATCCAACAGCTTTTGGTCCATCAAATTTTAATTAAGTATATTCATAAGACGTAAATTGACAATGGAACGAACGGATGGGATGATGGTATCATTGTGAAATCAAAGTGTTTCAAATGGTTTTCGATTTCGCTTTCGCACTGCAAAAGACAAATCGAGCGCAAATTCCGAATTGCCTTTGATTTTGATTGTGGTATTTGTGTGTGGGTGTATGTCGATAGCCACAAATAAATTTGTTAAAATTTCTGAGGCAAACACTGAAAATGATTTAAACTTGAGCGAATTCAAGAGTGAAAACCGAAAATCTTGGTTTGCTCTCACACTTGAGATCGACAGAAAAGGGAGGGAGAAAGAGAGAGAGAGAGAGAAACGTATCTTGAATCTTAGATTATTCTGAAAGACTGCGACAACAACACACACACAGAGAGAGAAGACAAACCGACGACCAACCACTCGGGCACAAAATGTTAAACAAAGCAAGCCATTCAGTGGGCCAACCAGCAGAGACAGAAGAAAAAGAAAACTGCACGTAATATAATACCTGACTGTGAGTCAGTACGGTGGCTCGTGTAGAAGCAAACGTAATCTATTTTTAAGAATAATGTATGTAAAAATATTTGAATAAGTTCCGAACATAGGAAACGTAAGTCTTTTACGATTTTTCTCATTCATTTTTTCTTCCTTTTCACTGCTTTTTGTGTGTGTGTGTGTGTGTGTGTGTGTGTGTGTGTGTGTGTGTGTGT